TACTAATCAGAATTATTTTCTATCTATATTTCATTCTGGACAAGATTAATTCATCCGGGTTCGGGTTCTTAATTATAAACAATTGTTATTATACTAATAAATAACTCTCATTAACTATTTTTTCTAGAAAATGTTTTATTAAAAAAATCATTTATTATTATATTTTTTGTTTTGCCTAATTTTAGAGGATGTTTTAATATTACAAAATTATATTTTTAAAAAAATTTAAATTTAAAAACAAGGTAGTTGATGGTGAACCAGTGGCTGAACAAAAAATGAGTCTTGTTTTAAATAGAGGTATTTCTACGGCTAGAGTACGTAAGGAAAAGGAAAGGTTAACCGTCTGTCAAGCTTGCGCTCATTGAGCGCAAACGGGAGGCTGCAGTGGGGAGATTCCCCACTGCAGCCTCCCGTAAGAGTTTGGGCTGTGTTTCAATCCCAATGTGGCTGGCCCCCTTCCTAGGGCAACTACTGATCTTCTCCAATTTGATGTTAACATTCTGTAAAAAGTGAGTCAAATCTCAAAGCACTAGAAGACATGAGAAATATTATATTATTAGGCGACACTGGAACTGGAAAAACAAATATAATTTATAAATTAATGTCTTTAATGGGTGTTACAAATCTATTTACAGGTATTCTATTATCTGGGTGAGATCATTCAATCAGACCAAAGAATGATTGGGCTAATAGGAATAAGATTAGATAATTAAATCCTTTACCATCGGTGCTTAACACGCATGGATTCAGTTTCCAGGACTACCTGGCGCTTAGTAACGCTTCCGCCTTCCAGGTGCCATTTTTTATTTCGAGCGTTCCACTACCAAATGCTAAGTATCAGCCACAAACTGGCGAGAAGAAAAGTGTGTTTCTTAGAAAAACTAAGGGAAGCTTAGCCGGGAAGTTAGCGTCTATATGTTTTTTATATTAGAAGATTTTGAGAAAATACTTGGTAAAAAGATTGGAGCTTGCTGGTTCTTCTCGAAATGCGTTGACGCGCAGCTATTATTTATACATATTTAAGGTGGTAAAGCACTCTTCGTACTGTTGCAAGCGGTCTCGTTGCTGTTGCTGCTACTGCTGCCGTTGATGACCATGCTGCTGCTGCTGCTGCTGTGTTGTGTATTGAAGTGACTGCACATTTTGTATCTCCGCATTTCCAAACGAACGAGCAGCAGCAGCAGCAACCGGAACAACAGCTGCTGCCGCTGCAGCTCGGGCAACAGGAAGCGCAGCAGCAGGAATAGTAGCAGCTGCAGCATCCACGGCATTATTGTGTTGGCGCTGTTTGCAGGCTCTGGTGCGGCATTTGCGAGTGCTTGTGCAAGGACTCACAAGCCTATTTGGATCATATTAACGGCCGCAATCACAACCAGCTTCTTGGTGGGTATTCTTTTCTGCTGTTGTCTGCATGCCGGGCTGTCCCCAGGTGTATGTGCAGCTCATTTGTGCCTTCAGGGAGCTTCTTTTTTATGTCTACTATCTGTTGGTGCAGCACGTATTGGTGCCGCTGCTCTCTGCTGTTGCGTCGCTGGTGTATGTACACAGGAATGAGTATTTGCGTGGAGCGGGTGCCCTTGGCTCGGGTTAAGGCCAAGCTGCAGGCACCGAGGCAGGCGGCGGGGACTGGGTTGGAGCCCCCAAACCCAAAGACAAAAGCGGATGCGCGTGCCCAACAGCAGCAGCAGCAGCAGCAGCAGGGAGGAGGCGCTCAGGGAACGTCAGGGGGATTCGGGGTCCTTGCGGGCGGCGCAGGAGCTGAAGGGGGAGCTGCGGAGGCAGACGATGAATTTGAAAGGGTTCAGCGACGCCTAGAAGAACTCCAGAGGAAGCCAGCGCTAAAGAAGAGGCTTAAGAAGGAAAAGAAGAGAGCTGCTGCTTTTGCTGCTGCAGGCGGGACCACGCCAACAGCAAAGCAGCAACACCGGCAAAAACAGGGTTGGAAGCGAATCCTAACGCCGCTGCCCTAGCAGCCATGGGGCTGCCGACTCCCTTCAGTGACTGCTGACTTTCTCAAAGCCAACTCAACTTATGAATGCGGCAGCAGCTGCAGCAGCTGTAGCAGCTGCGGCCGCTGCAGCAGCTGCAGCAGGCGTACGCTGACGTTGCGGCCGCAGCTACCCACTAAAGTGTGGCCCACAGCCACCAACTCCTGAAGCATCAGCGCTAAGCCCTTGTCAAATCCGAGTCGGGGTGACGCCCTACGGCGGGCAGTGAGGGCCGCTTTCTGCTGGATATGAGTCACAAGGCGGCGTGCGTTGGCAGGGGCTGGAGCCCAGTTCAGCAGAGCTGGTGTGCGCCATGAAGCTTTCATATTATATATATATATATAGCGTAGAGACAGCTCATTTGCTACCGTCCACACTTAAGAAGTTGCACTGGGGCTGTGTTTAATTAGGTCTCTTGCAGCAGCAGCACCTTTCGGAGCGGAGGGCATGCATCTTCGTTTGCTTTTGTTTTGTTGTCTTCGGGAGGATATGGAAGTGTCTGAGGAAGACATTGGCAAAACAGTTCGACAAGAGGACTTAGGGAGGCTTGTGCATCGGGCTGCCTTGCTGCACCACGAATTACAGCAAGAAATGCTGCAACTCCGGAAAGACCTCTTCCCCGCCCTCCCCCCTCCTGTCAACAGCCCGACGACCTTGCGCAGCTGAGCTTAGGGCCGCTAGAGACAGGTGGGGAGAGCAGGTGATGCAGAACCATTGACATATGCCCTCTCGCTCAGTTGCAGCTCCTAAGGGCCCTGGGGACGACGATATCTGCTGCAGTTCATGTGACCGCGAGACAGCTAGAGGCAGCAGAAGGGAGCGCTTAGCCCTTCCCCACGATTTTTGGGGGTCTGAGGGAGACCGTTGTTTTGTCGAAAGGCGAATGCTTTGAATATCTCAAATGAAGATCCACCAGACATTGATTCAGCCGTTTTTCTGTTCAGTGTTCGATATGCATCAACGATAGGCCACCGGCAGGGAGACGAAAAACTCCTAAGCGTTTTAGCTGGGACAGCAGTAACTTCAGAGGGCACAACGTGTGTCATCGTGGAGTGGCTGTTTCGCTTTGTGGTTTAGGGTTTAGGGTTTGGGGGTTAGGGCATAAGGTCAAGGGCCCAGGGGTTGAGTTTAGGGGTTGAGATTCACCATGGAACGCATCTGAGTTCTTTGACGAATACCACTGCTGCTGAGAAGAAGGCAGCAACACCTCGAAGAGAAATGGCTGAAAATGCAAATCCACCAAGGACGGAGGCACAAAGAGCAGCAGAGAAACAGCAAAAGGAATAAATAGACGCATAAGCATTGAATGCAAGAAGCAAGACTTGAAGCAAAGCTTCCGCAGCTGCGATGCATCTGAGGAAGCGGCTGCTAATGCGAACAGTAGCCGCAGCAGTGGATGAAGACAAACCTTACGGAGAGAATTTACAGCAGGGGATAGCATGAGGGGCAGGTGAAACAGCAAGGGGATGCGTGACAGGGCGTCGACAACCATTTGAAGCAGCACGGGCTTCTTTGCCCTCGGCTCGACTGCCATGGGCAACTGTTTCTGCTGCGCAGAAGCAGCAACAGCAGCAGTAACAGGAGCTGCGCCAGTAGCGGAACCGACATCCTGACGCTCAGCGGAAGGCACGCCCTTACAGGCACTAATTGTCCTCGTGGCCTCTTTTCAGCAGTGCTTGCTGCTGCTGCCGCTGCTGCTGGTGCTGGTGCACTCCGTCAGCATCTGCAGCAGCTGCTAAGCTCGCCTCCTGTGGTTGCAGCACGGCCAACGTATCGCTTCCTCACAGCAGGTGTGTCTGTCTCAGCAATAAGGGGAGGGCCAAAGAGGGCTCTTCCGCCTCACTTTATTGCGGACACACAATTCTGCTGCCTGGTTTCGCTACTGTTGCTGCACCGTTTGTTGCTGCTTTTGTCGATGCCCCTGTTAGTCCTGTTAGCAATGGTATCCATAGCCGCTGCAGTACACACTGCTTGGTAGCAGCGCCATTGGAAGCATAAGAAGCATCGGCTTCAGCAGATGCGGCTGCAGCAGCAAGATACATCTGCTGGTGCTGCGATAGCAGGCAGTAGTTTCCTGTCTCAGCGGCTTGAAGGGACTTGTCTTCCTTTTGAGGAATTCATGGCCAGTGCTGGTGTTCTTCAACAGACAGAGAAGCTGTAACAAGACAGCCCCGTGAGCAACTAAAGCGGCGTCCGCTACCACCTGCCGCTGCTTCTGTTGCTGCTGTTGATGTTTCTGCGCACTCCAACAAAACGGTCCCCATGGGGGCCCCAGCTATAACGAGCTGCAGCAACAGTTTCCGGAACACTCCCATTTCTTCTGTAGCCGCTACTATTTATACAACTTCTGCTGCAGGGAGTACTGCCGCTGCTGCTAGAGTCTTGCAGCAGCGGCAACAGCACAGGCCACCACTATCAGCAGTAGCAGAAACAGCAGCTCCCTCACGGATGCACGGAACACCGCGTTGCTGTTGCTACTGATGCCCGTCTGACAGGCTTCCTAATCTAGCACAAGGCTGATAATACCGTGAGCATTTCCATCGTCCCCCAAAGAATAACTATCGCGGCATTCTTCACGTGAGGGGCCCTATACTGGGGGTCAGTCACCTAGTGGCCTTCAACTGGGTGCTCCGGGTCCTCCACCTGCGCGCCCCGTGAGTTAACAGAACTGAAGTGAGCCAAGCGACACTGGAGAAATACGGCAGGTAGAAGTGCAACAATTAACGGACACAGAGTGACGTGGGGGGAGAGTGAATGGCAGAAACTGGAGAGAAGCAGATGCGATTGAACTGAGACGGGCGAGAATGGAAACACAACTGGACACGAATAGAGACAAAGAAAAAAAGACAGAATATGTAGAAGGCCTAAAGCTACGGGTAAAGGCAGAGTAACGGCATAGACAGGAATAAGCACGGCGACGGACAAAAACAAAGGGAGGGGAGAAGCCAACCTAACGGGCGAGAACTAGCTGGGGGCCGACTGGCTTGAGGTCACGCTGCGAGTCCCGACTCTGTTCACTGTGTAGTTGCTGCTTCAGGCATCTCATACGCCTTCACGAGCGCCGTCCTACTTCAAAGGCTCAGGGCGGTTGTCGTGTGCTGCTTTTGGTGTTGTTTCGCAAGTATTAACTACTACTGCAGGTCATCCAGGATCGGAGATCTTTGAACAATCCTAACTGTTGCTCCGAGAATGAAAGTTAATCTAGGGATAACGCGTTGATCTCCCTGAAAAGTTCGCATTGACTGTAAAGGTTGGCACTTGAATCTCGGCTCGTCGCACCCTGAAGCTAAAATAGGTGGGAAGGCTTGGCCTGCTCGCCCGAAAAAGCGACACGTGAGCCGGGATCAGAACGCCGCGGAATAGCTCGGTCCATATCGGGTGTAGGCTTGAACACTAAAACGTTTTCCATAATTTGTTGTACTGATGGGTTCATCGTTAACTATTCCTTTAGACTGAAACATATTTTTGATTTGAAAGAATTATCATTAGTTTTCCTCACTTCAACATGTTCAATACATCCAAAAATATTATCGAACACGTTGGAAAATTCATTGAGATGAATTTTCTGTTTGCCTAGTTAGTAGGATAATAGCTTACGAAGGCGGAGGTCAGTCAGTAGGTGCCCTGCAGGGGCCCGCCAAACTGCAATTCAAAAATAGCCCAAATACATACGGGACGCTGCAGTGAGAAATTCTCCAATGAGCGCAAGTTTGACAGGGTATCGTCCCGTGAGGAAAAATAGCTCATTATAGTTGTAACCTTGTTTTGTTGAAGTGAACACTGACACCCGCTTCTGCATCTGCTCTCGCTGCACTTGCTGCTGCTGCTCCACTTTTCTGTTGTGTCTGCTGCTGCTACGCTTCCAGCTTCTGTCCTTCTTTTTGCTGCGTCAGCTGTAGCTGTGCGTCGTGCTGCAGCGCCTGCTGATGCTGCGGCAGTTGAAAAAGCACCTGCCGTTGCTACGCTTCTTGCTGTTGCATATGCTGTGGCTGCGTCCACTGTCGCATCTGCTGTTGCTGCGTTTGCCGATATTGCGCCTACAGTAGCTGCGTCTGTCGAAGTTGTGCCTGCTGCGCCTGCTGCTTCTGCGCCTGTTGTATCTGCTGCTGCAGTGCCTGCTACGCAGGCCGCTGCTAAACCCATTGCTGCCGAGCCCGCCGTTGCTTGGGCGCTACCTTTGCCCCTAGTTTATACTTGATTTTGGGGGATGATATGTATGTCAGGGTTCATACATGTTAATTCAATGAATGTGTACTCAATGTAATGCTGGAAAAATTTTCCCAGAATCGCCCCTAGTTGTGGTGCGCCGCGCCAGGCTACGCACCTACACTTGCAGTGTATTCTGTCACAAGCAGGTACATGAATGCCTACTTGGCCTTAGTAGGCAACTTGCAAGCAGGTACATGAATGCCTACTTGGCCTTAGTAGGCAACTTGCACTAGAGCTGACAAGCAGGTACATGAATGCCTACTTGGCCTTAGTAGGCAACCTGCACTAGAGCTGAAGTACAGCAGTTGTCTACAGTGTTACTGCAGGCAGCAAGGGAGAGTTTTTTGTGGCTGCAACCGCAGCTCAAGGCGAACCTATGATAAATATCGGTAGGAGAACCATGAAAAAAATGCTCCGAACATGTCCTTTTAATCAAACGATAGCTAACAGAAGCTTCGCTTCTGTCCACACACAACGAGACGCGAGTTACTCACGAAAACCCACTAATGCATCCTTATATTTCCTATCATTTATGCATTGCTCAAATCCTCTTGGGGGTCTACCTCGTACGAA